AAGCAAAATACCACTGCCTTTTAGCAACACTTTAATTATTTTAATTATCTTAATATCATGACATAATATAAAAGTGAGGATTAAAATAAAAGTTAAAGATGAAGATATAATTTAAAAAACCATCACATAATGATGAAAAGTTCATGAATTAATTGGGTGAGAACTACAACGAACGGAGCCACTCTACGTTCTTCAAAGGAGAGACAAACATTAACAAAAGAAAAAAGAAACGAAAACCGAACAAGTGTGAAGCACACACCCAACTGCGAGCTCGACAACTTCCCTGCAACTGAGACGCCGAGGGGCTAAAGCTCCCTTCGTTGCAAACAAGAAATTAAAACAAACCACTAAAAAAGTTGTCCAAGAAGAGGCTCCAAAGTTCCCTAAAACCCAAAAAGTTCAAGAACTAAATGCGAAAACGCTTCATTTGTTCATGCCGGTGGCGTTCTTGACTGCATCGGCAGCTCCCTGTGCCTTGGCCTGCATGTTCTGGCCAGCATCCTGCATTGTTTCCTTGGCAGACTGGGCGGCATTGTTAGCCTTGTCCATCATTCCACTGGCCTTCTCCTGTCAAATCCCAAATCATCCAATACAACACAAACACCTCAATCTCAATGCACAATCAATATTAAAGCAAAAGAAAACGTAAAGATGTTATTGACGCTCCAAAATAGTCGATCATGCACTAGAATCATAAGAACAAAGAAGAAACGAGTGCAGTATACATGACTATTTTAAAACTCTCGGAACATTTCAAAACAAAAAATGGAGATGAGTGAGGGTTACCTGAGCTTGGCCCTTGGCCTCTCCAGCTTGGTAGCTCATCTTCTGGGAGTTGTCAGCCATTTTCTTCTTGTTGGAAATTGGAGAAAAAGAGCACTTTGAAATCGATTGAAGTTCTTAGAGATGGTAGTTGATTTGCTTGATGATGAAATACTCACAGTCGGATAGGTTTATATAGGGTTTTGGACCACCTGAATGCTCGACACGTGTGATGCCACGCGTAAGTCACTCGCGGACTTCCTCTGAGTTATTGTTCTGGGGACCAACCACGTGTCGCGTTGTTACTTGGGGTGGGCCTTTTGACCAGGAAGCTGTTTTTTTCCGGTGGTAGTTGCTAACTTCCTGTTCTTAGGGCTTTGACAGTTTCATCCCGAAGGGATCAATATACCACTATACATATATATATATATATATATATATTTTTTTTTTTTTTCAACAAAGAAAATAGTGGTATTGATATATTATTTTGATAATAATTTCATCAATGGGAGATTGAAAAACCAGACTTCATTTTATCAACACACCTCTTTTATTACAAAAATTCACCATTATCTCTTAGTACATTACTTGTGTAATTGTCACATGATGCATAATTGTCAATAAAATCGCGTCACAACCCATCAAATATTAATACTTATAGGGTGCGTTTGTTGCACCGGACTATCTCGGACTGAACTAGATTCAAGGACTAAGCTGGACTGGCTTAGACTAGACTAAGCTGGACTAACTTAGTGAAGCGTTTAGTGCAGTGTCGAATTAAGAAGCAGGATAATGAAAATAGTACTATCACCAGTTTGGTGTTTGCTCGGACTGAGACTAAATTATTATTCTAATTTAATTTCTTTTTATTTAAAGATATTATCAAAATTAATAATATTAGATGAGAGTATGACTCAATAAAAAATTAAAAAAAACCAAATTTCTTGCCAACGAAAGAAACATACATGATTCAAAAGTAGTATTGCTCCAAACATCAATATAACAAAGGTGTTTTCCTAACAATTGACGGGTTTTAGAATGCTTTTCTTAATTATTCAGCTTTGGGTTGATTGCATTTAATCCCAATACCACAATGATGTGTGAGGCGCATTGGCAAATGGATAGCCGAGCCTTGATCATTGCTACATTTGGATTTGAGCACGTAAATTGCTTGCTCCAACTAGTTTGAAAACCAATAACAATATGCAAAAGGAAGAGATCATGAATATACCTCGAGCAAAGTACACAACGTTTGGAGCAAAGGATTGTCAAAAGTGAAGCAACAAGTTTTAGCTGAGGGAACGTAAATTTAAATGTTATGATACAGACAAAATTTTGTTATTCTAACTAATTTACTGACTAGACTAAAACACAAGTTTGTTTAGGCTACACGAATACAATAGTACTCCTGCACTACAGTTCCTCTGAGTCAACTCCTTACATGAACATACAGTTACAAACAATCAAAATCAATTGAATCAATACCATGCCTTTTGTTGCTCTAGCAAGCAAGTTGGTGCCTGCACATGTAACAACTTGCTGCATCAAAACTGCCATATATGACTCTACTACGATGGCTGAATCTGATCTCACCGAAAGCAGACCAAAGATGTAAGCAAGAAAGCAGACCAAAGATGTAAGCAAGCCGCACCTTATGGCATCCATCAATTGCAGGGTATACAATATATGAAACAGCTTTGATGGTTTCCACAGCATAGCCAACTATTTCACTTTTAAATTCCGAAATTTCACAAGTAATATCATCATTGGTCCAAACCTCAGAAACAAGGACAGAACTCAAATAACACAAAAAGACCTGCAAGGAAACAATAGATCACTATCACTCAATGGGGGAAAAAGCCATCTCTATGTTATAGAATTCAGAGATGTAAGCCTACAAAGCTGCCTACCTGTGAACGGTTCAAGCTGTATTCATCAACTAATGTTAAAACATCCTTCAAAATGTGCTTCTTCTCTAACTTGACTGAATCAATCAAGGGACGCACAACACTCTTAATATAATTAAAGTCCTGAGACAAAAAGCGTACTGTGTCAACACCAGGGATTATTTTCTCTAATGATGTACAACGATCTGCAACACGCTTTTGGTCTTCTAATTTTAATTTCCATTCCCTCCAAAAGGTAGACTGCACCTTGTCAAATTTGCCTATTTCACCTGAATCCAATAAAACAACATACAAAACCATGAACTCCTTATCATTGTAAAAATGTACATGCATCAATAATATTACTCTATTTTCACATTTCCACTGCTTGGAGCTTTAACATGATAGCATAGCAAATTGTAAATAAGTGTAGCAGATTACCTATGTGTTTTTCTTTAAACTTCCTTAGTAGAAGCTCCCTCCTTTGTGTAGGATCTTCACACTCAAATGCTGAACTATACAACAAGCTATATGTCATCCCCACATTCATGATGCTAGAAACTTCTTGGTAATCCTTCCTTGTTCTAAGCTGCTCATCTATCACTTCAACCCCACTCACAGCATCTAACATATTCAACAGAAATGAGCAACCCATTATGTCTTCCTCTTTGGTAACAGGTGGTTCAATTATTGATTTTGCCAGAGACGCAATCACATTGTCGGTAGGAGCAAAACCATTTCTCGCCAACCAGGACAGAATGGTCACTAGAGCCTGTGTTCTTACACTGACATATTGCTTTCCAGGAATCAAGTTACCACTTGACTTCTTACTGTGTTCTCTATTCCTACTTAGCTCAAGCAACCATGGAAGTTGCAGGGCAGAAAATGTCAAAAAATTTCCATTTTCTCTCAAAATAGATTCCCAGTTCGTATAAATACGATTACAAATAAAGTACCAATTCGCAAATCACAAACTTTCGCATATATAAGAAAATATCAGCAAATGGTCAGACTTACATAGTCGTTTAGCTGGCGAGCAGCAGATTCAACTTCTTGAACACTTGACATAGCCACAAACCCAAATCCTCTACTTCTTGCAATCGTCTTATCATATATCACCTGCTAAAAACCCTCCAAATTTAACCCACAAAACACTAAACCAGCAACAACCGATTTCACTTTTCACCTAAATTTCAAGTAAAATTTACAAAATTTCGAGTGAAAACAAGGAATTACCTTGACCATCTGAACATTTCCAACGCTCTTGAAGATACCAGCAAGCTGAGCGCTATCGACGCTGAAGGGAAGGTTACCCACGAAGAGTTTGAGGTCAGAGGAGGCGTCTCCGTCATCGCTGAGAACCTCCTCATCCTGCTCGAACTCGGATGAGACGGCGAAGTCGTGAAGGAGATGGGAGATGGCAAAGGTGCGAAGGAGAAGAAGACGGATGGATCAGCTGCGAGGGAGGACGGGACTAGGAGTCCACTCGAAATCGAGGGCTCTCGCTAAGAACGGTTAGCGAGGCGTTCAGTCGGGGCGAGTCCCTTTAGTCTCATTAACGCTTGTCCGTGTAAATAACAAACACCAGACTAGACTATCATTTAGTCTAGTCCAGTCCAAGAAATGCTAGTGAAGGCAAACAAACATACCCATAATTTCTAATGTCCTGAGTTTCCAATTCATAGAAACACAAGCTAAGGTTCTCTAAAACTTAAACGAGAACGTTTCAATTTTCAAACAAATACATGAATGTGTAATCAAAACACGAATTACATAAAGCACATAACTCAATATGAATGAAACAGAATACAACACTTATCACCCTTTCGTCGCTTGATTGCCGTTAAATATAACCGTTAAATAGGCAAATCAGTTGCTCAAACCCGCACTGCACTATCAATTCCTTCATTCATTTTTCTTGTATTTAACTGTAGAAGTTTTGAACCAAACCTCCATGGACATGTACAGAAGCTTCTAGGGTTTTGTATCTTCACTTCATTATTATTTCTTTTTGTGGGTTTTCGTTTCTTCCTCCTCCATCTTTTGTCTGTTCACTGTTTTGCCCTTGGTGTTTTATTTAATTTTTAATTCTTTGTCATCTTTTTGTCTATGTCATTTATCTATGTTATAGTGCCTATATACAATGATCTTATCCACTTCTATATTGGAAAATTTGGCCATTTATATTTTTCATTTTATGAACTGACATAGCTTGTATTGTTAAGGATCCAAAATTGACTATTATAAGCAAAATACCACTGCCTTTTAGCAACACTTTAATTATTTTAATTATCTTAATATCATGAAATAATATAAAAGTAAGGATTAAAATAAAAGTTAAAGATGAAGATATAATTTTAAAAAACCATCACATAATGATGAAAAGTTCATGAATTAACTGGGTGAGAACTACAACGAACGGAGCCACTCTACGTTCTTCAAAGGAGAGGCAAACATTAACAAAAGAAAAAAGAAACGAAAACCGAACAAGTGCGAAGCACACACCCAACTGAGAGCTCGACAACTTCCAAGCAACTGAGACGCCGAGGGGCTAAAGCTCCCTTTGTTGCAAACAAGAAATTAAAACAAATCACTAAAAAAGCTGTCTAAGGAGAGGCTCCAAAGTTCCCTAAAACCCAAAAAGTTCAAGAACTAAATGCGAAAACACTTCATTTGTTCATGCCGGTGGCGTTCTTGACTGCATCGGCAGCTCCCTGTGCCTTGGCCTGCATGTTCTGGCCAGCATCCTGCATTGTTTCCTTGGCAGATTGGGCGGCATTGTTAGCCTTGTCCATCATTCCACTGGCCTTCTCCTGTCAAATCCCAAATCATCCAATACAACACACACACCTCAATCTCAATGCACAATCAATATTAAAGCAAAAGAAAGCATAACGAAAAACTGTTATTGACGCTCCAAAATAGTCGATCATGCACTAGAATCATAAGAACAAAGAAAAAACGAGTGCAATATACATGACTATTTTAAAACGCTCGGAACATTTCAAAACGAAAAATGGACATGAGTGAGGGTTACCTGAGCTTGGCCCTTGGCCTCTCCAGCTTGGTAGCTCATCTTCTGGGAGTTGTCAGCCATTTTCTTCTAGTTGGAAATTGGAGAAAAAGAACACTTTGAAATCGATTGAAGTTCTTAAAGATGGTAGTTGATTCGCTTGATGATGAAATACTCGCGGTCGGATATGTTTATATAGGGTTTTGGACCACCTGAATGCTCGACACGTGTGATGCCACGCGTAAGTCACTCGCGGACTTCCTCTGAGTCATTGTTTTGGGGACCAACCACGTGTCGCATTATTACTGAGGGTGGGCCTTTTGACCAGGAAGCTGTTTATCTCCAGTGGTAGTTGCTAACTTCCTGTTCTTAAGGCTTTGACAGTTTCATCCCAAAGGGATCAATATACCACTATATATATATTTTTTTCAAAAAAGAAAATAGTGGTATTGATATATTATTTTGATAATAATTTCATCAATGGGAGATTGAAAAACCAGACCTCAGTTTATCAACACACCTCTTTCATTCCAAAAATTCAGCATTGTCTCTTAGTACATCACTCGTGTAATTGTCATGTGATGCATAATTATCAATAAAATCACGTCAAAACCCATCAAATATTAATACTTATAGTTTCAAATTGTCCTGAGTTTCCAATTCATAGAAACACAAGCTAAGGCTCTCTAAAACTTAAATGAGAACATTTCAATTTTCAAACAAATACATGAATGTCTAATCAAAACACGAATTACATAAAATTATGTTACACGAATACATCTTTAAAAAAATCCTTCAACATGAATGATCGTGTCACTTCACTTAAGAATCTAAAGATGCAAAAATATCGCACTCGACCCATGTATAGTGGCCCAGTCGGCCCATCCACCCCCTCATGAAATGAAGCTTGAAAAACTTTTGGAAAATAGAAAATAAAGGGGAAGGGAGTAAACTTCAAAAATATTACGGGAGTCCCTGATATTTTCAAAATTTACACTACAAGCACGTTAAATTTATCAATTTATATTCCCGCCACACCCACCAGAAAAAAGCCACCCTAAGGGTCCAGAGGGCCGAAAATAGCTCGAAAACCATCTCCAACCGAGGACCAGGCTAAAGAGCTCGTGGATCCCACTGGACAAAAAAAGGTCAAGGGGCCAACTGGCTGGCCATTTTCAACCAGCCAGCCAACCCGCTGGCTAGCCCAATTTCATTTTTTTTTTCCATTTGCCCAGTCCACATTAAGGTTTAGGGCTTAGGTTTTTTTTTGTCCCAGCCCATTTTTTGTTTTTTTTATGCCCAGTCCACTTTTTTATTTTTTTTATTTGACGTTTTTTTTTTAATTTCTAATTTTTTTCCTACATCATTTCTCACATATTTTTCACAATTTCATACTATCTTATCTTATTTCAATTCTTTACATTCCATACTATAGCCATTTAGCTCTCGGTTTGATACGGTTTTTTGTGACAATGCTAAAACGAACCCTATAACCTGGGTTGTAGATGATAAAAAATATAACACTACATTGTTCATTAACATATTAATTTCTTAGAGCATCAAAAGGCTCGTTTGGGTCTCTGACCAGTCTTTGGCGATGGCCTAAGCCCAAATCGTAGCCAGACACAAAGCCCTCAAGGCTCAACCCACGGCTGCAGCAGCCTCCTTCTCCCTCTTCATTCCATACGTGCAATCACCTCAGCTCCAAAGTTTTCAACTTTCTGTATATTTTTGTTCGTTCTTCTCCGCCCAAAAAACCCTTTTCTTCTTCTTCTGCTTCTGCATTAGTTTCCAGCAGATTTACAGATAAGAAGAGAGGAGTCTGAGGAGTAGGAAAGTCGGGTACTTGAGATAATTGGGAACCGGGTTCGTTACAACCCGAAACGAGCACGGCTTTCTAATCTGCACACTCTGAGTCAATGAAAAAGATGGGAACGAAGGACAAGAAGAAGATCCATAAGAACAAGAAGGTTGCCCAGCCAACTTTGGAGCTTGTTGCAAAGGGTTTGTCACTTCTCATATGATCAAAAAAGTTATATTTTTCTCTTACCGTTTTAGTTTGCTTCTAACTTGGGTTTTTGAATTTTTTTGTGTTGAAATTGGAATTAAGTTTCTGGGTGGTTTGAACCTAAAAACTAATTGTTGAGGAAATTTGATTTAGATGATGAATAATATGATATAAAATAGATGCTATATACTTTGGGAAATTGAAGAACTATGCATTTAAAATGTAGTGGATGTATATATAATTGTTCAATGTTCATCATCATGGAGGCAAAAACCTATTTGATAATTGGATTTGGCAGTATTTGGCTCCCTGTATCTGTATTGATACGGCGAAGAGTTTTACCAAGTTGTGATTTTGTAGTTTTTATCTGTTTCCAGATAAAAAATTAGGATCTGCAGAGATTAGAAAGAGAAAAAGGGCAAAGGAAAGCGATGCTGATTCTCGAAAGGTTGTTCATGTCTCTATTGAAGGTACATTGGATTTATGTTTCTCATGTGTTAAGTACATTGTTAGGGGTATAGATTTGGATTGAACTCAATGTTCTCCGTTTGCTTTTGTTGTTTCAGTAGATAATTCAGCCAAACCAGCCAAGGATAAGAAAAAGGCAAAACTAACGAATAAAAGGAAAATAAAGAATGCGAAGAACTATGAAGCTATGGAAGGCAAGAATGATCATCCAAATACAGACACTGATGACGATTTTCATGAAATAAATGGTAAGTTGCTTCTAGTTGGGTAGCATTATACTGTAATAGTTTTCAGGGGAACCACAGTTATTGTGTAATTTGTTAACGGTGTCCTTGGGCGGGGGGTGTGAATGTTGAAAATTTACAAATTTCCAAAATCTTTGCCTGTCTGTGTTTTGTTTTGCTTTATATGTAAGTCGGAGTTGTTTTCTAGTTTTCTTTTTCTCTAACCTAAGGTCTCTGCTTCCAATTTTCTTTCTCAAGCTGTATGGAAATGCACGTATGCTTTTGAAGTGTCGACCATAGAATCCTTTCTTGCTTTTAACTTAATTAAGATAATTTTCTTTCTATTAGATGATGGAGTTGCCGATCAGAGCCCATTTGAAACTCAGGAAGAGATTGAAATTGGTGAAGTGCTCACTGAGGCTGGTAAGGAACCAAAATTGGAAATTATGAATAAGTGGCAGCTTTTGTTTGATCTGAGCAGAGTCATTGGATGATATTTTTATTGCAATTACTTATAAGGTCAAGTGCTCATTGAGGTTCTCTCTTTATTGTAGGTAAGTCAAAGAAAGCTAAGAAAAAGAAAAAGAAGGATCGTAATTCATTGGAGTTTGTGAAGTCCCTTGACGAGGAAGTAGCTGGTCAGGAGAAGAGCTCAAAAGGGATATCAGGTATGATTCTTGAATTTGAAACATTGCTTTGTATCCAAGTTATCACTATTTCATTGCAATCAGTACTTTTCTACTTTTAGTAATGATAAATTGTCGATGAAGGTGTACCCAAGAAAGCTTCAAGAAAGAAAAAGAAGGATCTTGATTCGTCAAAGTCTAAGAAGACACTGGAAAGGGAAGTAGAAGCTGATCAGGCTGATGTTTACCTTATTTCTTCTGGGGATGAGGACTCTTCGAAAGGAATGAAAAGTATGAATTACTGAATTCAAACTACTCGTTGGTATATATTTTCATATTCTAAAGCCAACAAACCTATTCATAAGTGAATACCTATGGATGATAAGCTTCAAATTATTTGATTTTACAAAATTCAACATATGTGATATTAATTTCCCTTTTTTATACTGTACTCCTCTTATTGAGAATTTCTGAATCCTCAGAATGGATTATGGAATACCATCAAAGTAGACCTGGGTTGAAGGTACTGCAGCAAAGAATTGATCAGTTTATGGTTGAACATGATGAAAAACTGGAACAGGTAATTTTCCTCTTCCATGCTACAAATACCATACAACTGGAGTATTCAAACCAGCCGTTTGGACCTTCGCTCTTTATAACACTGTTCATACTGTCTTGAGTGACGTATTTGCACATGCTTGAAGGTCTATAAAAAACGGTTTTGTGTATGTTGAGCGATCTATAAACACATATGGTATTAGCTGATGGGCTTGCTCTATTGTTTTTCCTTGTTTTGAATTTTGGCCCGCATACTTATTTCTTCATGGAAGTATGCTACATATTCCTGCCTCTGATCTCTCTTCACATATGCCCATGTAATGTGGGAATGTATAATCTATATTTTATTGGTATTGTGTGGTTCGTGTATGTCCATCTGTTTATATTCACTGTGCGTAACTTTCCAGTTGATCAAATGTGTACTAGTTCACATATATGCGTGGCACATGCAGGAAAAGAAAGAGAAAGAAGCCCGTGCTGCAGACGGAGGATGGACAGTTGTTGTACATCATAAAGGAAGGAAGAAGACCACGGATTCTGAGAGTGGAATTACAGTAGGATCTGTTGCCCAGGCTGCTTTGGAGGACAAGGTGGCCAAGAAGAAGCGCACAGAAGTTGTTGGGCTAGATTTTTACCGGTTCCAAAGGAAAGAAGCTCAGAGAAACGGTATGTTAATCTTACATATAAAGTTAATCTTGTGTTAACCTGAAAAACCACACGACATAGATGAAAATGTTGCATATGCTGAAAAGCACTCCCATTATGAGCATGCAGTGGCATATTGCATATGCTTATGTTGTCAGTTTCCGATGAATTTTATTTTCATATGTTACACATGAAATAGTCTTGTTGTTTAAAGTTGTGCAAATACAGCAAAGCGCTAATAGGATATGTCCCTGCAGAAATTATGATGCTCCAGAGCAAATTTGAGCAAGCTAAAAAGCGGATACAGCAGTTAAGAGCGGCTAGGAAGTTTCGACCTTACTGAACGCCTGAAAGTTTGTCCGAAGAAAAGCCAGGAATCAATTGTTCTTGTTCATAATGTTGAGACATGAGTAGTACAATGCATGTTGCATAACAGTATTGCGCCCCGTATTTATTTTTCCGTTTGTTTCATCAAACGTAATTGATATCCATGGCGATTCTTTTTCTACCAGAGAATGCACATTCTTCATACATTAAGCTACGGATTGTCGAATGGCAACGATATATTCGCTATTTTTGGACAAATTGGCCTCTGCTTCCTTTTCTGTCTTCCTTAATGCCTTTTGGCTTTTTCCTTTTAGATCAAATTTGGCGTTCCGTGTAGGGGTGGGCAAACGGGCCTTGGGCCCGCGAGTAGGGGCGGGTACAGGGCGGGTCCTAATTTTAAAAAAGAGAAACGGGGTGGGGCGGGGCGGGCCTGTGAAATTTTAGGTTCGGACCGATTCCAAAAGTATAGAAAAACGAGTACCCAGACCGGCCCGTTTACAAAAATATCATGTGTTAGGTACCATTATTGTCTCCCAGGCCCACTTCTTTTTTGTTCTTCCCCGTGGGCCGTGACAGTTCTCACTCGAGAACACTCCACACACACACCTCACCCACTTCCCCGTGTTTCCCCCTCTCCCAATCTCTCAAACCTTCTCCCTCATCCCTCTTCTTTGTTTCTTCTCCCCCCATCTCTGCAACTCTCATTCCCGGAGCACCCCACCGATAAATGATATGCTACCGCCGCCTCACAAATTCTTCCCCTGACGAATGATGCATGGATTGGCTCTTCTGCCTCTAACTTCTCCACACACCCTCTATTTCTTCAAGTAGATGGACCGGGAGGTTATGGATCTGAGATACAAGAGCTGGTTGAACGTGGTGAAGATCTTGATCTCCACACTCTTCAATGGCGAGCAAATCCTCTGCGACCACGTGTTCTCATCCCCTGCCTCGATCTGCGAGTCCTGCTTCACGGACATTTCACGCGAGGCGGCGACTTTGCTCTTCGGCTTCTCGCAAGTTCTGGTTGGTGGTGAAGAGTAAGAAGAACTCTCTCGACATCTTCCGCCTCCTCGACATGTACACTACGATCTTCGAGAACTAGCCGGAGATCGAATCCATCTTCGGCTTTGAATCCACGGCTGCCGTTCGTTCTCAGGCGCTCAACTTGCTCATCAAACGCAACGAATCAGTGCTATCTGTGTTCTCCGATTTCGAGTCCATGGTCCAGAAAGACTCGTCGAAATTCGACTAGGAATCTGGGTTCTGGATATTGAAAATTAGAAGAGAAAAAAAAAAAAAAAAACAGGGTACCCATTGGACCCGTAGGAACCGGCCCGTTTTATACGGGTCAGGTTAGGTCCGATTCTCAGTTTGAAAATAGTAAAACCCGCTCCGCCCCTGCCCGTTGTATTTTCAAGCGGGTCCGGTCCGGTCCCTTCAATTTTGGGCCGGCCCGGCCCGTGTCCACCCCTTGTTCCTTGGATTTGTACAAATCGAATGCCCAATGCCCAACAAATTTCTACCCAAAACAAGAAGCTTAGAAGCGAGGATGCTTCCTTGAGGAAGAGATAATTAGTCCTCACCCGTTTATATTCGTTTGTTTTTCATGTTATGTTTATCTTCGTTTCGTGTTCATGTTGTGTTTATCTTCGTTTCATGTTCATGTCAACCCAAAGATCGTACGTTTTTAATAGTAGGTCTAATATTCATGTCCCGAAGATCGTCTGTTTTTGAGACCTAAGTCATTTTCGAGACGTGAATAAATTAAATTTACTGTCACCGTAGCGTCACAGATTATTAATATGACATGATTCACATATGAACATGTGATGATGATCCTTTGATTCTTTTCTAATTGGAAGAACAAGAGGTACTAAACCAATACTTAATAAATAGCATAATCCGTAGTCAGAACACAGAAATTATGTAGATAACAATAACATTCATCTTATAGAGAGAAAAAAAGGTAGATCACCAAAGACTCCTGCATCCAGGAAGTCTGAGAACGACGACGGATCTCGGCTGCCACCCGAGATCCGGTTTATTGACAATATCAAAAACTAAAACAGCAGCGACACAGCAAGCTGCATATCATAATACTAATACCCTACTATAATTGCAACATAACCCCCTAGTCACATTTGTTTTTTCTTTTATTTATTACTACTAAAAACACGAACAATAGAACGCTAGATCTCGGCCAGATCTATCTCTTCAACTTCCTCGTCCTTCTCGTCCTCGCTCCAGCAGCACTTCAGAATCGACCTTGGAGACTGCGAACCAGAATCATCCTTGACAAAGCTGTGGTAGATGATTGCACCACCCAGGCCTAGACCCTCATAGCTGCTTCCTCCGCAGCAGTATCCCCTTAAGTCCAGAGGGCACTTAGCATCAAGATCTTCGCCTGCGGTGCTGGTGGTGTGCAAGGCTACAGAGAACTCAGCTGGTTTGAAGCAATCCAGAACCCTGTAAAGCAGCAGGGTCAAGTTCACATCATTGAAATTATATCCCACTGTTTCAAAGCTAGCGTAGCTGAAACCGTCTTCTGGTGTCACGTGGATCGTAGAAACTGCATTCCCTTCAATTGAGTTCATGGAGTAACCGCAAGGTTCGAACTCAAAGTCGCATATATCAGATTGTGGGAGGACCTTCCTGATGCCAGATTCTTCGGTCATACCAGCAGCTGAACTTGCATCGGATTTGTAAAACACAGAAGCCCTCTTCCTGTCTAGACCGGTCATGCACATCTCCAGTGTGTAGGTCGGGCCTGTTTGGCGTGAACCCCACAATAAGCTTGCCAGCTCCGCCGATGCAGAGTAAATATGCCATTTCTGAGTTTTGTCAGGGCTTCCCATAACATATGCCTTGCTTGCCAAACCAAGCTTGCTAAAATGGCCGTCAAGTACAGCTACTTCCTCGGAAAAGCTACGATGAGGAGAGGGCTGAGCACCAGGAAAGATAAAGCTCCCACGAGAGTACCTCACAGATTTTACAGCTAGAGAGAGGGTATCAGCCAACTTGAGGATGGCAGGGATTGATCGAAGCAATTTCGTTGTGCCACAGGTTTTGATGATCACTTTGTAAGGGTACACAAACAGGCTTGACTCGGATAGGACGTAAGAGTCGAGATCATCATTTGACAGTGAAGAAACAATGGTGCACTCAGCTGGTGTCAGAATCTCATCTATTTTGAGCTTTCGATAGAGAACGAAGACCCATGCCTTTAGGGTCAGCGAACAGTCCAGGCTCGAAGAAAGAGACCTCGAGCCTCTTTTCATACCCTTCGAATCCAATTGCAGAGACCGGTACAGCCATCTCGATTTAAGTAAGAAAATGAGGTGCAGCAGCAGATGAAATGACAAGCGAGGGAACGAGAGAGCGAGAGAAGTAGGGAAAATAAATAGACTAGAATAACTAGAGTAAGATTGCTGTATTAATGATCGCACGGGGTTATGTTGGGACTTAACACAAGTCAGGATGGCTTTCGAACGCACTGCACATAGAACAATACAATATAATTTTAGAAGGAAGTCCATACAAAACAATCGAGGAATTACAAGCACCATGAAACAAACAGTAAAACTTACGTTAGAGTAAGCAGCTGATCTGAATTTCTTGATTCCACCGTGAGGCCTGACGTCTTCAATGCTGTAACCGAGGGGAGCTTCGTAGAATGATGATTTACTACTACTAGAATCCTTTTTGCCACCTTTTTGACTCCATTAGCTCATTCAGTTATTTTCCTGCAGAAAGGATTAACCAAAAAGGGATCAAAATCACAAGTAATAGCCATACAAATCCAGGTTAAAGGAGAAATCTACGCAAATTAAGTGAGAATCCAACTGCTTATACCAATAAAGAACAATTAGCATAGACCAACTCTAATATACCAAATCTGCTAGGAAATTAAATAAAATCATACATCCAAGCACGAAACAGTGCTATAATTATGTACACAAAACAAATCAGTGTTTAAAAAATTACAATCAAACCAGCATTGTAATTTACCGAACAGGGATATGGGGTTTATGCAAAGCCGAAAAATTATAGTAAGGCGGCAAGGATCCCTCAGTGGCAGCAGGCCCTGTCTGAGGAATTCCCAGTCTTGCGGAAGATGGAGTATGCATATGTGATTAAATAAACGACCAAAAATACCGATAATACGCATAGAATCGTCTACTACATTTGCCATTGAACATCGAAAGCGAATAATGCATTCAAGTTCTAAACCAAATCATTACGTTTTCCATGAGAATATAGAATAAACAACCCCAAATCAATGAAATTCAACAACAAAAATAAAACTTTGACCCTAATCAATCAACGAACACAATTTCTTCCTCATATAATCACACCAATAATCAAATCAAACAACGAAATAAACAACCGAGATTAAGGAAACAAACTTACAATTAATTTTTTTTTTCAAATAATCTAAACCAAATCTACAATCTCCTTCGAAAATTCCCCTTCTTAAATCTCAATATCAACACCTGAACGCCAACAGAAACCAAAAAAAAAAAAACAATCAGATATACATAAAAACGCAAATTTGAATCAGCAAAATCCACATAATCGACAACCGAAGGCGAGTGATGGAAACTAATCGTACCTGAAGATTTGAAAACCGGGACGAAGGAGGCGAAGATCTTAAGGAATCGGCGAAATGCAAACCCTAATTATACCGCACAGAAAACCTAAAAATGACTGAGGTCACGAAAATTTTGGGAGCTGAAAAACCGGTGCTTCGTTGTTTTCGTGAAGGTTGATGAAGCCCAAGGGAGCGTTGCGTTATATAGTCAGAGAGTGCCGTGTTTGCCACGGGATTTCCCCTTATTTACGGTCATGCCACCCTGTCTATCCGCTTCATGTGGATTTGCTCACAAAACTCGCAACCACCCGTGATTTTATCATTCGGACGATTCTGCCCTTCCTTGTTTGCGTGGATAGGGAAGCCTGCGCTGTACAAGGCGGGCCAGGGTCGCATAGGAGAGATTTTTCAGTATGATCATCATATGAGGTAGTACACCATATGTTTTTATATAAATAGTAGATTATGTGTGCTAAAAGATTAATAATTTAAAAATTAAATTTTTTTATCATTTATATAAAAACCCGTGATTTATCATCCGTGTTCCGTAACTAAAAATTTATCGTGGTTAGTCTCGGAATCAATGTTTTGAAAAGACTGCGATGCGAAAGCGAAACGACGGCGCGAAGAGGTTCGGGAATTTTGAAGGCGGTGATTGGCTGCGGACGAATGCGAGTCGTCGCGACACGTGGTGAAAGGATAAGAAGGCGTGGTTGTGAATTGGCTCCACGTAGTGAGAGGGACCAGTGTGATTGCTGTGGAGCTGGTTATTTTTGTAGTTTTCTTTCTCGATCATTTCCGCGCTTTGTCTTGTATGGCTGCGTGGGCCCGAATCTTAATATTCTCCCAATTTTGTATCAAAATCAATTGCAATTTAGTCCAAGCAACTTGGACCCCAAACCAAAAAGAATAATAATTAGTGCCGCTTTTTAAGGAATGTTAAGGAGATTCGCTTAAAAGTAAGATTATTCGTAAATATTTTGATATTTTATGCTTTTTGTATAATATTTTACAATGTTAGTATGAAAATCAACATTAAACTGTAAGATGATCGAAAGTACATAGAGAGCATTTTCCACATTGAGAGAGTGTCCTTCGCATTTCTCATCAAAATTTTATCCTAATCTTATCCCAATCATGAAACAGGAAAATAGTGAGAAATTTTATTTTTTAAGTTATTAACTTTTTAGCACACATATCCCACTATTTGTTTAGTGACACGTGGTGTACCATTCCGTGTACCGGTCACACTAAAAAATCTCTCATTTAGCTGTGAGTTTAGTCGCATGTTTTGGTTTGGTTCACCTCTTCATCTTGATTCCCTTGCAATTTTGGGTAGCGACTATGGGGAGTGCTGGAAAAATGCATGTCCACGGGTTCATGATATGGATGCCAATGACGAGTTTTTGCAAGAATTTGTTTTTGGTCTTTGGCGAATTTGGAAGGTTAGAAACGATATGGTTTTTCGTGGGACGATGTGGAATCCAACGAAGGCTTTGGAGTTGTGGAGGGGCCAGGTGAGTGAGTTTAGAGATGTGATGGTTAAGATTGATAACCAGGGACCGTGGCATCCTGGAAGTATTCTGTCGGCAAGGGGCGTGCAAGGAGGTTGGAAGAAGCCGAAATTTGGAAATTTGAAATTGCGATGTGCTTGGAACTCAAAGACAAGGTTGGGTGGTTTTGGGTGGCTGTTAAGAGACTTTGCTGCCATTGATGTTTTGTAGAAACAGCGGGTGTACAAAGGTGGAGGTGGAATCTGACTCCCAATCTTTGATTCGTATGATCAATAGACAGATGGAAAGGGATGCAATATTAAAAGGGGTGCTGCTTGATATTGATTCTTTAGCTATGCATTTTGATTTTGTTAAGTTCGGGTTCGTTCCGCGCAAGGGCGGAGCGAAGTACAAGGCTACCCTGGACTATAGCCCTGATAGCTTTTGTGGGTACAAACCAATTATTCCCTATATTTCATTTATTTTTATATTCATCTAACTATTAGCCCATGTATTTATTTATTTATTTACTTCATTAACCAATACTATTTATTTCCTAAATAACAAAATCTATTTTACACACTTCATATACTATCCTTTTATGGTTAATCGTGACAATAATTACTTACTTTGATAGTGCTTTTAATTCTTTTCAAAAGCAATTCGTTGCATGTTTCAATTTTTGAATTATTTTATGCATGATTTTTATCTATTTAAAAAAGTTTTACAATGTGTTAACTTTTTTCTGTTTATTAACGTATATATTTGTCATATTAAAGGTTGATAAACATAGAATAATTAGACGAGCTTTACTTATAAGATTAACGTATAGTTATTTTTAAAAAACTAACTTTTTTTTATAGTTCTTAGCTAACCCACTGGCAAAAAATTTTCTGGCTTCACCCTTGGTTCCACAGGAAGGTAACTTGGCTACTCATGAGGTAGCTTTGTTTGCTATCAAGCATGGGGGCGAGTTTCTTTGGGATGAGATTGGTCCGGATTTTTTATTTAATATTCTTGCAGCTAATGTAAACCTTGCCATTCGATTTTAATAAATTTCTATATTTTCGACAAAAAAAAGAAACTTATTAGGTACATCTCACTTGCAAAGCAACACCACCCAATTCAACTTTGTATTCATTTAATTTGGCATTTTAATCAAAATATTTTTTGAATTTGACATAACTCTTTATTATAATCTTTAACATTTAAAATTGATAGAATTGATCCCCCAAATTTTCCGTCGTTAATCATTTTGATATTTTGGTGAAAATCATATTTTGGAATATAAAGATGGGCGAATGGTCATCCAATTTTTGTGGCAATGCATGCATCTCTCCTAATATCGTGATTCGGAGGTTCAAGCATCTTTTAATTTCTTTTGTTTGTTGGAAAGCATCTTCTAATTAAGCAAATGCATGCAATTAATGCCTACTCACCAACGTAAAAGCAAGTTGAGAAAGTAGTATCACTACCAACGCCAAGGCGTATTCACAATTTCAAATTAGAAAGACTTACATATGATACTTAATTGTTATTTTTACGTTCATGTTTACTCATTTGAATGCTAAGGTGATTTTCTTAAAAGTGAGACTCTTTATGGATTCTTTGCCATCTTAGGTTTTTGGCACAATGTTTATAATGTTGGCACGAAAATTGACGTTAAAATGTGAAATGGAAGAGAGTTTTTGAAGAGTCTTTGAAAAGTCACTTTGAAAGAGTCTCATTAACATTTCTCTACGTATTTATATTCATGTCATACTCATGTCATGTTCATGTTTACCCAATTATGTTCATGCTAAATTTGTGCCAAACCACAAATTTGTGTCAAACCATACGTTTCTTAGCAAGTTAAGTAATTGAATTTAATAATTATAATAATACAATAATACTTTTTCATCAGTACAAAACTAGGTTATCGTTTCGTTAATATAAACATTAGGTGGTTTTCACTAAAAAAAAGTATGCTAGGAAGACTAAAATTTTAAATCAAATAATGCGTCACCAATAAAAAATAAGTATGTTAATTAACGCTTAAGTAATAATCCAATTACCAACAACATCATTTTGTTTACAAATTTGTTTAAAAATTGTGATCTCCCTAATATTATTCAATAAAAAAGCAAGTGACTATTCACTACAATGGTGTAAGGAAGTTGAGCCCTTAAATGATGATGTGGGTTTGAATTCCAATGATGGTTAATCTAACAAAATCAATCGTTTGGCAAAAAAATAAAATATTATTCTATTAAAAAATATAACACAAGCTGGAGCAGTGTTAATTGTGAACGCATCAACTTCTATATTCATGCTTGCTTTAAGTCCTGTAACAAGTCGTGCCTAATATTACAGTTGGTTGGAGTAGGACAGATTCCAACTTCTTCTAACTCTTCTACTAAAGTCACCAGATCAAGTGATTCGGACTTTTAAAATTTCATCTAACGGTCCAAAATTATTATAGTTTTTAAAAGATCAAAACAAATAAATCGTTAGATGAAATTTTAAAGATCCAAATCACTTGATCCGGTAGCATTGAAGGAGTCGTGCCTAATATTATAGTTGGTTGGAGTAGGACAGATTCCAACTTCTTCCGAGAAGAGATCCGATCTCTTCTACTAAGGTCAATAGATCAAGTGATTCGGACTTTTAAAATTTCATCTAACGGTCCAAAATTATTATAGTTTTTAAAAGATCAAAACAGATGGATCGTTGAATGAAATTTTAAAGATCCAAATTATTTGATCCGGTAGCATCGAAGGAAAGAGATCCGGAGAGCCGATCTCTTCTCACTTCTTCCCACCTTGGAAGCAATCTTTGATGCCTCTCGTTCTATCTCGAGGCAGAAAATGAGGAGGGAATCCTGCATGCATGCCAATTGTCAATGGGTGCCGTCATCATGTGGGTCAAGTAATGCTGGGCAGCTGTGTCTGTCTGTGTGTATCAATTCTGAAAACTACTCTTTCGGTCTTTTCTGCCACGAGCACATATTTGGCATCAACTTTTCTTATGTTCAATAAAGAAATAAAGTAAATTATTGTTCTAGGCTTTTAGCTTCTATGATTTAAAAGATTGTGTGGTCCCGATTGGTAAATCTTTTGGACTTACTCTAACTCTGGAGTAAAACTCACATTTTAAATTCTAAATCTACTTCAATTTGTTCTAATTCTTAAGTCAAATATAAGTTTTAACTCAAAATTTATTTTGAGCAAGTTGAGGCTAGAATTCCTCCCTAAATAGTGGGTTGGCCCTCTATACATGTGTATTTTTTTAGTTTTATGTTTATAAATTCATTGAATCCAACACTAATACCTAATATGGTCAAATCCAACGGTAAAAAAAAGAAGAAGATCTAACCGTCTAAATTTAAATCCAATAGTTACAATAATTAAAAGAAATTTGTTCATGTATTTCACATTCTATCATAGTGTTTCACGAGTTTTATAGTGACGGTTTAGTGATTTTTGTTCTATATTTTTAGGTAAAAATATTTTTCTATATTTTCTATATTTCTCGGAAGCTAAATATTTTTAGATACAAATGTTCATAAAATTAAATTAGGATAGTTTACATATTAAATCATCTCGAGCTAAAAATTTAACCTAGAAGCTTAGAGAAAAAAAAACCGTTTCTGTGTTAAAACTTAATTTTATGAATTAGAAATTTTAAGTCTTAACTCAAGGGATAAGGATGATCTTAG